TGGAGCGCTCTAGGGCAAGGATATGACACATAGTGAGTCCTGGTCATCCACTGCAGCCTGGCAGTCTCCAATCGTAATGGTTCCTCGTGCCATTGGATTAAGGCTTACCAAGCCAAGAGCATGGGATTACCCCTGCGCAACGATTCTCCCACTATAAAACATTCTCGCACAGGTTATGCAACTCATTGATTGATTGATTGATTGATTGATTGTCGTCCCTTCCAAAAGTCCTGCGGCAATGGGTGAGTGACGAAGGCAACAGGTGTTTGGTCAGCAGTTGCTAGTCACAAACCTGCATGCAGACAGACCATGGAGAGTGGTCGCTCTTCTCCTGAACTTCGAGGGCAACCAGGAGAGCTCAGCAGCACTGTGGGCGACTGGGCAGCCTTTTTAGGGTAGCACTTCCCACCCTCGTATGAGAGAGGGGGTTAGAAAAGGTACCCCAAACAAATGCTTTGCCCTCCCAAAGTCTGGTAAGCTTACCGCGGTTGACAGACTCATCCTATCTGCGGTCAGAACAAATTAAATAAAATGAAATGAAAACTCATCATGGAAGCCTGGAATGTCAGAATGCTCCTCGGCCGAGCCAACACAAGCAGACCTGAGAGAAAAACAGCGCTAGTAGCCAGGGAATTCCAGCGCTACCGTGTCGATATCGCTGCACTCAGTGAGACTTGCTTTGCCGACGAGGGATCCCTGAAGGAAGAGGGAGGTGGATACGCCTTCTTTTGGAAAGGGATACCGTATGTTGAAGACAGGATCCATGGAGTAGGATTCGCCATAAGGTCAACGCTTTCTAAGAATCTTCCTGCACTTCCAGTTGGGTGAACGACTCATTGAACTTCGCATCCCCCCCAGTAAGAGCAGGAATCTTACTATCATTGCCGTCTACGCACCCACACTCACAAGTCCGGATAACACCAAAGAAGAGTTTTACCAGCTCCTCGATGAGACCATCAAATTACCCCCCAAGCCGACAAGCTTGGTGATTTTAATGCGCGAGTGGGCAGTGACTATGGCAGCTGGGAGAGAGTCCTCGGGCGCCATGGAGTGGGCAACATCAATGACAATGGACTGCTCCTCCTCAGCAAATGTGCGGAACGTGGTTTGTGCATCACCAACACCTTGTTTAGGATGGCGGACAAATACAAAACCACGTGGATGCACCCAAGGTAAAAGGATTGGCACATGATAGATTTTGTGATTGTATGCCAACAGGGCATCAGGGACATCCGCATGACCCGTGCCATGAGAGGTGCCGAGTGCTGGCCGGACCACAGACTGGTAAAAGCCATCATGAATTTGTACATCCCACCGCCACACAGAAATAAGTCGAAGGTTATCAGAGCCTCCTGTAACATAGCCAAATTGAAGGATGAGTCTTACTTCACCAAGTTCCAAGAGACTCTTGATGAAAATCTTCAGGAGGGCCTTCCCTTTGACAGTGATGCCATCAGGAAATGGTCAGTCTTCAAGACCATCATCACTGAGACGGCGAGGGAGGTGATTGGTCTGAAAATAAGGACTCACCAAGACTGGTTGGATGAGAATGATGAAAACATCAAACCATCCTTTCTGCCAAGAATAGCAAAATGATCCCACCTCAATAGCAAAAAAGAGCAAAGTTTAAATCCGCAATAGAGTCCTGAACCAACCTAACACACACCTAATGACAAAAGTCTACAAATGCCGTGGTTCTCCCCTCTCTCCTCTACGGATGCGAATCCCGGACACCATATCGCAGGCACATTAAGTGGCAAGACTGCATAACTAATCTGGAGGCCCTCGACTGTGCGAATTCTAGCAGCATAGAATCGGTGCTCATCAAGGCCCAGTTGAGATGGGTGGGGCACGTTATTCGCATGGAGGAGCACCTGATGTATGGTGAACTGGCGTGTGGAAGACGTAAGCAGGGCAGGCCAAAAAAAGAGGTTTAAGGACTGTGTTAAATCCAACCTCCTGCTGTTCAATATACAACCAAAGGACCTAGAGTCCCATGCCAGCAACACACCTTTCTGGAGATCGCTCGTGTGCAAGACCAGCTCCAGGTTTGAGGAGGCTCGTCCACAACACCTGACTGTAGCGAGAGATAAATGCCACCACAAGCGAGACAGCCAGCCTAGGACTGATGACTGACTTCCAGTGCTCCCATTGTTCTAGACTCTGCACATCCAACAATGGTCTGCGCAGTCATCTCCGGGTTCACCAAGTTGCAAAACGATGACGTCATCTTCGAATCAGAAGGACCACAACCACATGTACATCTGCTTGGTGTCTGTATATGACATGCATGTTTTGTGGTGTAAGTGTGCTGAACCAGGTCATGATTCCATAGCATGGATGAATGATGTAAGCATGGGGTATTTATACAATTCACGATGTAATTTGTGCTGTTATTTATACCTTTCTGGAATGAAATTTGAGTACATAATCATTGCTTTTTAACATTTTTAAGCGTACTCGAAATTGCTCAAGTAACTTTGTATGTAGCTTTTAAGCTATCTAAACTTGCAAATGGCGACTGTACGGTGAAACACGATTGCATTGGTAAAAATTTGGTCGCATTTGCAACTAATTTAGGTGCTTTTTAAAGCATTGCATATGGCGGAGGCATGGGCCTCACAAAAACACAAAAGTGTATTTTATGAGATCTTATGATCACTCTTTGTGATGAAAAATGAATACGGTCAGGGACATGTGCGTGTACTTGAGTTTCCATCCTCTCGGTCAACCTTTTGTCTTATTTTAAAAAATAAGTTATCTCACGTTATATAATATACATGTAACATGTGAGAGATGGGTATTACAGCATGGTCATGTTTGTGCTCGACTCATGAAGTCTACACATTTACTCCTGTTCCTGATTTTTATGCATTCTTACTAGATTACGTTTACCATTTTATTGCTCTGTCTCTATTAGTGACATTCTTTGCTGTTGGGATGGAAAACTACTCATCGTGATCTGTGTAGTGTGTGCCACAGTTGGGACTAAAATGTATTACTTTGCCCTGCATACCTGTGTTGGAAGGATTCAAGTTCTCAAATGTCTTTTTTTTTCACACTTCACAGCTGTTAACACTTTGCTTTTTATTAAGCCTCAGTATTCAACAGTATTCTTGCTTTGTCTATTACACTGTACATAAAAATGTACATTTAACTGATACATGCAGTAGAGTCACATTCATAGGATTAGTGGTCCTGTAAATAAGGAGAAGTGCTTTACAATGGAGTTAGAGTTTCAGCAGTTTAGACTTGTTGTTTAAGCCCTTTGCACATGACGACAAAAAACTTGCAAGGCTTGAGACACAATTTTGGAGCGGGCATTGTTTACTTTACAAACCTTGATCATGTCCTTTCACACAGCACCGTGTAACATTTTGCAAGCATTCCTTGAGACGCGAACGCTTATTCTGCGGGTTGCCAGTGAACTCCACACTTACTAAGCGCAAATACCGCAAGTATCAGCACAATGTGAGGTCAAAGTTGGAGACCATTGATGAAAAATGGCTGACGCTACATCGGCAGAGTCAAACTTGCAGACGAAAAAAACGTTCTCCCGAAACTGATGTTTCAGGGAGTACCAAGAAGCAGAAAAGTTCCAAGAAGGGCTGGGAGCATGTTGAGACTCTCAGCCTTATAACTGCCATGGAAAACGTGGTGATTAAGGCGAAAATGGACAGCATGGTCCGCAATAGCCACGTGTGGCAGGAAGTCGTGGGAGGTATGCCTGATTGCACCGGCAAGCAGTGCCACGATCGCTGGACATACCTGAAATGAAGTTAAAGGGCGCGCGCATTCTGTGTAGGGTTGGAGGTCACTATGCATGCACACTGTGTAGGTTATCTCAGGGGACCTTGTACAATAAACAGTGCGTCCATTCACATGACCATTTCTCATGGGTTGCTTGAGAAATCTTCAGCTAGCAGAAGATTTTGTCATAGGTCCAGACCTCCTCCAAAATATCTCAAGGAATGCTTGTCAATCTCAAGCATTGGCGACCTTTCACACGATGGCACTTTTGTAAGATTTCTCAAGCATGAGAAAATTTCTCAAACCTTGCAATTTTTGGGGGGTCTTGTGAAAAGGGAGAGCCAGATGCTTTGTGTGAACTAGCTATGGAACTAGGGACAGGTCAATTTATTTTGTAAACGTATAACATTTACCTTGTAGTTAGCTTTTAAAGTTACTTTTTACGTACGACCGTCAATCTTTTTCATGTACTCATTTATTTTGTTTTTTGGGGGGAGGTTTGATGTTGCAGGTTGTCAAAGCTGTTGTGTTTATTGTTTTGCAACCATCTAATGTTGAAATTCAATCATTTTTTTGCTTATATTTGCTTGACTTTATATTTTTGTTGAATCTACGCTCCAACTTCTTTTGACCAGCAAAGTTTCATTTTTTTTTTTTAGTTTGATGTAATTTAATTAAGGGCATTTTTTTTGAAGATCAAAATTAATTTAGTCTCATTCTGCCCAGATATCACACTGGTTCTTCATTTTTTAGATCACAAGTTTGATTGAGTTTATGGTTAAACAATTCTTTTTTTTTAAATCTTTGTTTGGATTCTGTTGAGCATTGCCCCGGAGCAATACATTTTGGAATTTCATTTTTTTCCCCCTCCTTTCTATAAAATTTGCGGTCGTTTGCCTCCACCTAATTTTCCTTGCAACTCCTCCCGACCCGATCAAGTTTTTTTTAGCAAGTTCCCCAAATGCTGGTTTGTTTTTTTAGTTTATCTAAATTTAGTTTAGGTGCCATTTTCCGTGCTACAGGCACATTATAAATTTTCAATTATTATTATTATTATTATTATAATTATGGTGTTTCTGTAAGCCCTCTCCTGAATTGTTTCTGTCGTTTGTTATATGGTTACCCAATTGGCCCTGGTAACTGCTTTGACATCTAGAAGTCGGTGCCATGTGACCTCAATACACTTGATTTTGCACACAATTGTGTATGGCCTTTACAAATTATCTGGTTTCACCCATGGGCTAACTTACTGATTAACTGCAGCATGGCGAAGTTCCTTCCTATTGCTCTCATTGCCTTGTGCTGAGTGTGTGTACAAAGGCACTATTTCAAGGCATCTCACTGACTGGCCCACTGCCACCTGTCAAAATAAAAGCATTATTCCTTCAATACACAGTAGTTTAATTCCAGGTTTCAATCCATTGGATGGTTTGAACAGAAACTATGCAAAACTCCAACAGAAATTCACAAAATTGGTATTTTACTGTTTTAATCCTCGAGTCCTAAACTTTTTAAAATGCCCCAGAAATAATTTCCAGTCCCTTTCCATTTTGTCAAAGCTGCCAATGCTCTTTCTACAAGCAACACTGAAATTCTTAGGAAAACTTACAAAATGGGCACGATGTAGAAATTGCCATGCTGGTAATGTAGCACATCTTTCAATGGCATCCCTATTCTAAAATTCACTTTCCTCCAATTGTGGAACTGCTCCAAAGTAAAACTGTGCAGTTTCTGACTTATTTCTTATATAACATATCGTTTGTTTCAATCAATGACAAAAAAGAATGACACATGCATGAATACTGATGTGCATCTATGCAAAGACCAGCATCACTGAGTGAGACGAGTCAATAAATGGGAACTTCAAGACTACAAAGTAAATGCCATATATATCAACCAACCTTTCTATTAACTTGGAAAACGCTGAGTCTCATTCTTATTTAGAGCTTATCTCAGCACAAACTGGACATCCTAGTGGCATTTACTTACTGCTGGCTTGGTAAGGGCATCTCTGATAGCTTCTTCCATATTATCAAAGAGCTGCAGCAGTGACTTGGTAGGGTGATGCTTGTACAGCAGTGGACTACTTTTAAGATAAGGACTACTGTCAGTGCTCGCCTGCCAGGTCTCAACATTAGGTGATGGGACCAGTAGGAACTGTAAGTCCTGACGTTTCAAATACTGACCAACCCGTTCCAGAGTGAAGCCAGACTGCTTTCCAGTCTCACCTAAATCCTGTTACACAAAAGCAAAATGGAAATTGAACACTTTCTCATGTATCAAAATTGCTCTCTTTAAAAGAATATGCATTTCTTAGAACACAAAAATTGACTTCTTGGAGGAGCATAGTAAATCTAGCCTCTCTAGGTGATCTGATGTCTAGGCCTGTGCTGGGTACCCGGGTACCCGCCCGTCGATTTCAAAACCTGGTTCCATTTTTCCGGGCCGGGTACCTGTAAAAAAGTAAATAAATTAGGAAAAAA